GAAAAGAACAGGTTACTATAGAGACACAGTAGCTACTCAGGGTCTAACTCTGACATTTGATGGGGAGGTACGCTGCTTTGTGAACTCACATTTTTCCTCTCTAGAAAAGTCATTTTCTCCCTATGTCTATAAAGTAGATGTCCATAATGTCTATATGGTACAGTAAGGTAGCCATTATACCAAAGTGTAGCAGTCCCCTGCACAGATTGGGAAACAAAGTAACAAAGCCATGGGCATTCTCCATTCTGTGATGGAGCTCAGCAGGAGGTAAGCAAAGTGAGATCTGACTATACACCAGATCTCTGGAGTTGGGAAACCCTTATCTCTGCCTGGGATGGGACATGGCTGGTGAAGTGTTTGTATGAGTGTGTTTTTACAAAGAGCAGAAATATGTTCTTTAGACACTGGGATGTTTTGACATTTCAAATGATTAGTCACTGTTTGTTCTATTTTAGTAGCTCTTCAAGTGACATTGAGCACACTGCTCTGCTAAGAGTACTCATGAGAAAGAGTGTGTCTGTCATGAGCCTAGCACTTACAATCAAGCCACCTAAACTAATCATGATGATATGTAAATCATAGAATACAGGTACCTACCGGTCAGAGTATGTGCTGCCTGTGTGCTCATTCCTAAGTAAACTACAACAGGGGAAATGGAAGTGCATCCAGAAAACACACCTACGCACTTGAAGTTGAGCAGGAAATAAGGACTATGGTCTCTGCCATTCTAGTTAACGAAGTCATTGGCAAAGAAATGGGAGATTGATCATTCCAGGCATTCCTAAAAGTCTTCAATGAACCTGAATGGCTTAAGAGGGCAGACCACGAGTGACCTGGAATGAGAATGTGTCTAACAAGCCCAAGGGTGATCTTTCAGCAGACTACTAACTGCTGAGGAGCTAGCTGCAAGGACATTTGAAGGAGGTGCTTCTAGGCAGAGAAAACAGCTTCTGATTAAGGAGAATAGAAACTTGATACTATCTGAAGGAGCCTAAGAGGGTCATTGTTGACATAGTGGACTCAGTGGGGAAAACAGAACACCAAGCCAGAGAGAATGACTCAAGCAGTGACTTCTCACAGGCAGGGGACTCAGGTCCTGCCTGCAATGGAAAGCAGCCACTGAATAGATGGAACAGGGGACTGCAGTGATTTGATGCAATTTCAGCACCCTGCTGGCTGCCACTGGAGCATGAATATTCAAGCAGTAGCGTGTGGAAGCTTACTAGTATCTTGGACTTGATGGGGTGGCTCAGTGAAGGAGATGAATAATGATCACATAAATGATGCCATTCCATTTTATAAGTTCATGTTAAATATATCACTTCTAAATGATGGCAAACTTAACATAAAACCTGGCTTTTCTTAAACGTCTCATATTTGTGTGAGTAACAGAAGATGAACTTGCGTTTTATCTAGAATGGAATGAATTCTTTTATCATTTGCTCCTATCACAGTTTCTGACTGGAATTCTGTAACTCATATGGTGTATAAGTTTGGAGTTACTTGTGTAACATTTATTTATCTAGGTACTTATTTGTGAAAATCCTTTTATACTCTGAAAGGACCTCATATACACTGTCTCTCTCTCTCTCCTTCCCTTTTGCCCTCCGTGTGTGTATGTGTGTAAGTGTGTAATGGTGGGTGTGAGAGAGAGAGATTGCAGTTGAGCTCCTGTGACTGTGTGGAAATCTGAGGACAAGCCCAGTTGTCAGTCTCAAGAGACAGTCTCTTATTTAGTGACTTATTCCATGCTACTCGCTCTTGAGGTTCCATGGGACTCTCCTCCTGCCATCTCTCCATAGGAGCACTAGCATTCCAGAAGCACATCACCATACTAGGTATTTTGTGAGTTCTATGGACCCCATGGGAATATAACAGGTGATTTACATAGGGAGCCATCTCCCTACCCAACAAAATACCTACGTATCTATATGAAAAAACAAATTGAAATCATGGAATTCATTAAGTATTGCCATCCTCTTGAAGGAAGACCACACAGGTCTATACTCTGCTTTTCTTTCTGCTATTTGTCTTGACTGCACCATGAACATGCGTCCATCTTTTCTACCCCCACACATTGTCTGAGCCAGCTATGGGGGATAGCTTCCGCTGGTGGCTCTGGCTTCACCAAAGGCCTCTTATATCCAACAGCCTGCCACATGTCTCTCTGAGATTACATACAACCCATTCATTATTTATAAATTGTTACCAATGAGGAAATTGGGCTAAAGTCCTAAAACTCTTTCTAGCTCTGAAACTGTGCACAATTCCCCTAACCATCACTTGATTTTGTTGTCTTCTTTGTATGGAAATTTAAGTCTCTCTGGTGAGATCCTTCATCTACAGGAAGCTTTCTGAGTGTTCTTCCCTGTAAATTATGTATAGACCTCACACACCATGCGCAACTCCTTAGCCTCCTCTAGGAAGTAACCTATATACCTTGCAAGATTCCAGGCCCTCTTTGGGCACAGTTGTCTGCCACCTTCCATGTTACATGAGCAGAGTGAGATCAGAGACTCAAGTGAGTTTAAGGACTTCAAAATCCTTGAGAGAAGAGATGCTGTCTTTATTCACTTATGTATGACTCAACCACACTTCACAGACTCCACTCTGACATAATAGGTAATTAACACGTGTTACATGAACAAGTGAAAGGAAAACTGTATGGTCTACAAATTGCTCATGGCATTACCTTACCTGGTCCTGTGGTTTGGATATGGCTTGAGTGGTAGCCCAAGAGCTCGTGTGTTAGGCAGCTTGTTTTCTGAGTGACAAAGTTTAGTTCACTCTTTAAAAGCTGAGGCCTACTGTGATCTCCTTAGGCCACCCAGGGATGAATTAATGTAGTTGTCCAGCCTCTGGCTTTCTGTTTTAAGATGTGATCTCTCCCTCTCACACAGACCCTCACACAGTCCTGTCACCTGTGCTTAGGCCCTTGCCAGAGGCCTAATAAACAGGGCTGCCCTATTTGGAAATTTCAACTTTTGGGACTTCCAAACTTTGAACTAACTAACTCTTGCTTCTTTGTTAAGGACCCAGTTTGGAGTACAGGGTTACAGTGATGTAAAATACACTCACTACATCCCACAAAGCCCTTACCTCTCTCTCAGTGGTCCATTTCCAAGAGGCTCCTATAAGCCCCAGTCTTCCCTTGTTTGGATACATTGTTCTACTGTAGGTCCTTTCTGTTCCCTATGCCCAGGTCTGACATATTTGCTGTTCCTTTCTTTTTATGCACTCAGGCTAGATTGAAATATTGATCAATAGCCACTTGCCTTCTACCTCATATGTGATCCAGTTCTCTCTAGGTGAACAACTTACATTTCCTCACTGCCGACATTTATACAGAAATCAATGTCATTGTGACAATTCGAAAGATGTGCTTTCAGACCTCTATGGTGCAAATGATATTCAGACCTGATTCTCAGCTCTCGTTCAGTAAACATAATTAAGAAAATAAGTTTCTTGGCTTGAGCCACTGAATATATTATCAGTATCATCACAAAATGCCTCAAACTCAACCTAGTCTGAAAGAAACGACCAGGATGACTTATATTAGCAGAGACAAGAAGCTTCCTGTGACATGTACAAATGGTAGGCTCACCTCTCCTTCCCAGTGTGTGTGTGTGTGTGTGTGTGTGTGTGTGTGCATGTATGCATATATGTGTATGTATATATGTGGGGATATGTTTGTGTATATGTGTGTGTGCATGTGTGAATATGTTTGTGTGTATGTGTATGAATGTTTGTGTATATATGTGTTTGCATGTGTTTGTGTGTATGTGTGCATTTGTGCATATATGTGTCTGTGAATGTGTTTGTGGGTTTGTGTGTATGTGTGTGTGCATGTATGCGTATATGTGTGTGCATGTGTGTGAATGTGTTTGTATGTATGTGTGTGTGCATGTGTGTATATGTGTGTGCACGTGTTTGTGTGTATGTGTGTGTGCATGTGTGTATATGTATGTGCATGTGTTTGTGTGTATGTGTGTGTGCATGTGTGTACATGTGTGTGTGTGCATGTGTCTCTATGTGTGCATGTGTGTGAATGTGTTTGTGTGTATGTGTCTGCATGTGTGTATATGTGTGTCCATGTATATGCATGTATATGTGTGCATGTGTGTGTGCATGTGTGTCTATGTGTGTATATGTGTGTGTGCGTGTCTGTGTGTGTGAATGTGTGTGAATGTGTTTGTGTGTATGTGTGTCTGCATGTGTGTATATGTGTGTCCATGTATATGTGTGTATATGTGTGCATATGTGCATGTGTGAGTGTGTGTGTGGTCTGCCCTTTTGGGGAATTCTTTCTGAGGGCAGTAACTATCCCAAACCCTTGTTAGAGGTAACTGCCTAAGGCTGGCTCCGTTCTCTGCCTATTGTCAGTCCCCAGTCACCGTCCTCCCCTGCCATCCTTTCTGGCATTTGTAATGGAGTAGGGGGGGGTACTCCATGTAATGGAGTCGGGGACAGCTTTTAGAGGGTAATCTTTGAAAAGACCATTGCTGTTGAGGACTGGCTTAGCAGGCATAATTTAACTTGATTTACAACCTGGTTTAAACCAAATGCACATCAAGAATGACAATAATTATTCTTTCTCTGTATTAAGATCTTATTAAATGCCTGTTATAATTACATAATTGCTGCATTCAATTCCGGAAACACCTCTGCAATTTAAGCACCCCAGTCCATTGCAGATGAAGAAGAGAGGAATTAGAGGGTGAGAAGGTCAGTCAAGGTCACACACCAATAGATGGCAAAGTTGAATTTGAACCTCTGTACAGTTCTTTCTCCCATATTTACATGACAGCTGTCTGTGTTTGGCGTGAAAGGGGTTCTTGTGGACAGTGCTTCATGGAAATGTGACCTGCTGGCTAGTGATGTAGGTTGTTCCTCTTTTCACCCAATTGGAATGAGATTCAGAAGGCTGAGATGCTGCAACCATGGGCATGGTGAATTGAACACAGAGCTGACTTACTCAGGGATGTGTCTTTACCTTCCAGGAAGATTTCCAACCTGAAGCAGCCTCAGATACCAACTGGGAATCAGTCACAAGCTCTATCTCTGTGAGTAATTTATTATTCTGTTGCCAGTGAACAAAACTGCTCAGGTCAGCCTCAGGGGGACCTTGACTGCATTAGAACTCTGGCTTGACTGTGAGCCAGATAAGCCAGATCTCGGGCAGTTTGAGCTCCTCTGTTTCTTTCAGGCACGCCCGCTGTTGGCTGCTTTTTAACGTTTGCATTTTCAAGAGTCTTTTTAGGATGGGAAAATCTCAGTGTTTACAGTAGGATGACTTAAGTGAAAATCAGCCATGCACAGCTCTGATTGGGATATAACACATATCTTACCCTACGGCTATAAAACGGTTCATGTCTCATTTTCTTCCTCCAAATTTAGTCATTTCTCAGGGTCCTATCGCCTTATCTGCTTTGCATGGGAAGAACAGATCTTGCCATCACCAATCCTGCATGTAGAACTTATGCAGTAATGAAATACAAGATGATAAAGCCAAGCTCTTCTCAGCCATGCCTAAGCACGGTGAATAAGTGTCGCTAGTTCTAACACAGGGACATGTGTCTGAGTCAGTAGTACTATTTTTAAGCCAATGCTTTTTTTTTTTTTTCTCACTGGGGCAACGTGTTTAATTCCCTCTATGGCAAGGTCTCAACAAGTCTGCATTCTATGTCTCTTGAAATCCCCAAATGTGGCCACTCAATTTATATCTACACCCTCAGCCTCCAGGGCTCAGGGATCATTGAAGAAGAGGAAGGAAAAAGATTGTAATAGCAGAGGTAGTGAATATCTGCAGAAAAACAGTATTTTGCAGACATAGCAAGATGCTTACAAATGAACCAATAGCAGCTGTGATTGCCTGCACAAGATCAAGCCACACCGAATCCCTCCTGGCTGGAAAGACTTGTGAGGTCTCTCCCTAGCGGAGGAACATTAGGTGGCTTCTGGAGAGTGAGCGATCGGTTCTCTACACGTAGAGTGGATGGCCCCACGCCTGAGAATACACAGGCCACACTCAGTGGACTCAGTGGATGTTTCGTTTTCGTTTTTGTTTCTCTATGAGCCCATGAAATTGGGAGGAAAAGTGCTGAGTCACTAGGCAAGGACGTAGAAGAGAAGGCCTGGCAATGAACATGAAGGTAATTTTAATTCAGCTAACACTGTCATTCATCCTCATAAATATATAATAGAAGCTCAGTGAGACCTCATGTCTGAAATTATCAAAAAAAATTGAAACAAATAGTGTGTCAGGAGACTAGATAGGAAAAGAGTACTGAGGATGTGGTGGTGATGTTCTGAGTCACACACATTCTGTGCTCAGCTCAGTGGAAGCCACTCTATCAGGTGGAGGACTTCAAAATGAGGTAGCCCCATGCATGCATTCCTCAGACTAAGTAGGAGGTCAGGGCCTTTATCAGCCTGTGGCTAATGACACTGAGTACACACCAAAGGGGCCTCTGAAGCCTGGGCTGAGGGCAGAAGGACACTCCAGCTTCCTTTCCATCTTACTATGATGGTTCAGGGTGGTCCAACTATTCCTGCTCTTGAGTGCAGAGCCAAACAGTTTACACGGCCTTTACCTACTAAAGCATAATCCAGGCTTTGAAACAGGGAGAAGATTGGCTTATCCCCTCAGAATATTTGGCAAAGTTCAGCCCTGGTCAATATTTACTGAAAACTTCTGGTTTGCATCTGAGGCTTTAGCCTCATTAGAGAACATGAAAACCAAGTGTGCTCCTTGTTGTTTCATTAATTTTCATTAGTATACAGTGAGGGTGAGTTTGAGTGAGATACCGATGGCATAAGCACCCACTACTCTCTTCCACCCTCCCCCTTTGCTCTATCCTCTCCTCTGTGAAAACTGTTCTTAGATTTTAGATCTTTCTAGATTAGTTTAAGGGTCACTAGCAACTATCAGTTTCTATGTGGACCATATTTTGTTTTGTTAAAACGAATTCAGAGGTTACTTTTATGTAGTGGGCATGCTGTTGTGATCATTTTAATTCAATTAATATTTTAGTTTAACGTTCTAATTTATCTTTATAAATATATAACAGAAGCTCAGTGCAACCAAATGCATGGTGCAGTTGAAGGAGATACATGTAAATGGCTCTCTAATTTTTTTTTTAAATATTCACTTGAGAAACAAATATACTTGTAGGTTTATTGGTCAGTTAATATTCCTAATTATCATCCTTTGTCTGTCAGCTCCCTAAGTGAAACCTGGAAAACAACCATGAACCTCATGCAGAAGGATAAGACTCAATTCTATGTATAGTTTGGATTTTCAGTCCAGCTCACGGTTAGAGGGGATTCTGTGGTCTGCTCTCACCCTGCCTCCCTCCCAGGGCTGAGAATCCCTTAAGAGCTCCTTCTGGGAGAAGTGTCTAGGTATACAGCAGCACTCCAGGAACTGTTGAGGGCTATCAGAGAATGCTTCTTGCAGCCACTTTCCCCAGGGCGCTAGCAAAAAGCTTTTACCTGTGTATAAATGACTTGATTGACGTTCTTACTTTTATTTAAAAGCTTTTAAATGCTAAAAATCTCATAAACATGTCAATTCATTTTGACTTGTGGGGTAACGGACTCATGTTGTGATATAAGGCTAATTGTGTGGTGAATTCTAACCACTGGGGATGACTGAATAATAAGTTATCCATATAGGGTGAATGGAGATTTGTAAATATAGTGTGACTTATAAATGTTATAACCCACAGCATGTTTGAATAAGGAGAATTGTAGAAGGCAAAATCATGTGACTCTATCAGAATTCATCTCAACACACACACACACACACACACACACACACACACACACTGACCTCATTTAAAGAACTAGCCTGCCAATAATTAAAGGCTAGGGAAATGGTTCCCCAATTAACAGTAATTTCTGCTCTTGCAGAAGACCCAGGTTCAGCTCCCTGTACCGATTTTGGTGGTTTATAACCAACCATAGCTCCAGTTCCGGGGACTCTGACACCCTTTTCTAACCTCTTGGGTCCCTAGACATGTATGTGTTACATATTAATACATGCTTGCAATGCAAACACTCATCTTATATACATAAAATAAATAAATGTAAGAAATATTTAAAATAAAAGAACTGAAGTTGTATTATCACCAGCAAGGTGAGTATAGAGTATGTCTTTATCTTGGCTCAAGCTATTAACAAACCCCTCTAAAGTCATGAATGACAAATGCTAAGTAACCGGATAAACAATTGTTTGTCCATGCCAGTGTGGCCTCATGGAGAGGGAGTGAAGCTCCATGGTGGAGACAGGATAAGACTGCTTATCTTGATGGGGCTAACTAAAAGTGGACAAATTCACCAGTCTATTTGCAACTCCCACATTCTCCATAATCCTCATGCAAAACATCAGTGGAAGCTCCTGAGTCACACCAATAGTAGCTGATTTCATTAGACCCCATAATTTCACCAACTAGGGTGCAGTCCTCTGAAAGTGGGGGGTCACAGAGTCATTCACTGTCCTATGATCCATAAGTGGTGGAAGAGGTAAGACTAAGAGGAAATGAGAGATTTGCTGTGTGATTGTAAGCTCTGAAGCAGTGCTATTTCTCTCTCCTAAAACTCAGCTTTAAGAAGGCAAGCTTTCATTAATTCCCACTTTAGTGATAGAAAATATTCTTTTTCCTTTTTTTGTTTTCATTATTTTTATTTTATTTTTTTTCTTATTTTACATATCGATCCCAGTTCCCTCTCTCCTTCCCTCCCATTCTCCCTAACCACCCTCCCATACCTTCCCCCTCCACTCCACAGGGAGGGTTAGGCCTTCAAGGATGGGTCAACAAAATCTGTCAAGTCACATGGAGTAGTGACTAGGCCCTCCCTCTTGCCTTTAGGCTAAGGGAGTGTCCCTCCATGGGGAATGTGCTCCCAAAGTCCTTTCATGCACCAGGGATACATCCTGGTTCTACTGTCAGAGGTCCGTACACTGCCCAGGCCTTCTAGCTGAGACCCATGTTCAGGGGGTCCGAGTTGGTCCAATGCTGGTTTCCCAGCTATCAGTGATAGGAAATATTTACCCATGGGGAGATCTGAGTTGTTGGCTAGTTTCTATAAAGATGTTTACATAGTTATTTGAGGCTGTGTCCTTTCTGTCTCCCTGATAATGGGTCATGATTTTCACCGAGATGATGACTTATGGCTCATTTACCTCAAGAGTATAGTAGGGTTACTGGAGTGTCTAGGAACTATGTGAGAATGCTTTATTTCTGACAAAATAATAACCCTTTTCTGGCCTTTCAAAGGCACTGTGTTCATCGCTTAAATAATATTCTGGAACTCTTCATGACAACTGGGATCACTGCTAAGTGACGGCAGTCCTTTTCCGTTTTCCCTTTTAATATGCTTCCCATGTGAACCTTGCTCTTAAGTTATGAGAGTCAATTCAAGGCTAATTATCTTGTTGACAGTAAATAAGTTGGTTAAAGTGCCATATTTTATCAGAATGTCTCCAGACAAGTCAAATTCACCTCAGGCAGAGCCTGCAATGGGAAGTATATGGAAAAGGCATGGGGCACAGAACCTCAGCATAAAAGAACAGATCAGATCAGAAATCACTTGAAAGGAAAGAGTTTAATTCTGTTATTAGTTGATATAGAAATGATCTGGAACTGGGAACCAAGAAATCAGAAGTCAACTTTTATATTCCATGTAGGCTGTATCTTTTGAAATAATCACAGTTCAGATGAACTGGAAGTTGTATGATCTTCTTGGCTTTGATATCCGTAAGTGTTGTGCATTAGAATGGTACACTTGAGTTATTTGACAATATGACTTTTAAGTGCCGGATTGCTATGGTATGATACTTTAACGGTATATTGTGCTCCAAAACCTATCTGTGCCCCTTCATTTCGGTTGTGTGATTGTTGTATTTCAAACAATGGGCCCTTTCTAAGTACACTGAGTTGTATGTCACTCTTAGGGGGTGTCCTATCACTCTCCATCAGTAACGGACCCCACGCTCACTGCTGATGCTCTGGACAAAACAATTGCAGAATTCGACACTGTAGAAGATCTACTCAAGCACTTCAATCCAGAGTCTTGGCAAGATGATTTGGAAAATCTGTATCTGGACACCCCTCATTATAGAGGCAGGTCATACCATGACCGGAAGTCCAAAGGTAAGAAGCTGAGTCTTCGATGTTCTTCACCAGTAAGTGAGAGTGTTCAGAGTAATAATAAGAATCTGTAATGTAATCTATTTAATTCACTCTGTCTAGTGAGTACTGTCAGTCCATTATCACATCTGTATGCCACAATACTTTCTGATTACGTTGTGTGTTTTGACCACACTGTTGTTTGTGTATGGCTGAAAAGAATAGACCATAGTGTGGAGACCTTATGAAAAGTATCTGTGGCCTAGAAAAAGTGGTACAGTAGGTAAAGAGCTTGCTGCACAAGCACCAGGACACCAGTTTGGATCATCTGCACTCAGAAAAAGGCAGACATGACAGCAGACATCTTCAATCCAGTGCTGGGGAAGCAGAGACCAGCGGGACCTCTGGACTCACTGGTCAGCAGGTATAGCCCCAGAGCAGCGAGAAACCCTGCCTCAAAAAACTAAAATTAAAAAAACAAATAGTTAAAAAGTAATTGAGAAAGATTCCAGCATCAAACGTTGACCTCCACATGCGTGTTAATATACGTTGGCATACACAGATGCACATGCACAGAGCACACATACCTACACATAACACAACAGAAACACAAAATACAACATCTAGGCAAGCTTCCTGTTTCTTGCCTGTAAATCCTGATTTTACAGTGGAAGAAGCCAAAGTCAAGAACTGTGTATAGATCACAGAGACGGCTCCGCTAGGTGACAATGGAGATGAGCTTTGTGGTCTTTGGTTTATACCAGAGTGTCTATGTGATCAGCCACTGTGCTTTTGTAACAGCTGTCAGTGTTGGCTCAGTGCAGGATTGCCTGTGTTAGGGCCAAGGGGCTGCTGTGAACAGCTAGGCCTCTGCACTTGTTCAATTCGACCCATTCAAGGTTGGTTTGCTTAAGCATATACTGCATGCATGTTTAGCATATCCGCCTATCCCACCCTCCCTTTCGTAGTCCCCCTCCCCACCTGTTGGTCCTCTGTTCCTCTGACACCTAACCTATATGAAATCTAGAAGCCAGAAATGAGAGGGAAATGGGAAATTTGCTTTCTGAGATTATATTATCATGATTATCTGCAGTCACATGCATTTTTTCTGCACCTGGCAAAGTTTGTTCTTATCCATGTCTACTAAGTACTGGGCACCTATGTGACTCACAGGCTGAAAAGGTAAGGGTCCCAAGAGAGTAAGAACTTATGGGACAGTTTGAAGGCATGTCTGTGCCTATTTCATGTAAGTTTGAGGAAAAAAATAATGACAGAGAAAGAGAATGTTTATACAGAAGTTTTGAGGACAAATAATAACTCCAACATTTTAAAAAAATAGAAAGCATTTATGTTCTATAATTATCACACAGACGACTGACATAATCTTAGAGAAAGAATGTGTGTTTATGTTATGTAATCAGTAGACATGGCTACCTCCAGTTACATTCCTATTATGTACTTGCTTTATTTGATAAGATTTGTTATCAAGTTTTGCTAACAAGTCTCATGGGGTTTGTGTCACAATGCTGTGACGGTGTTCAGCCAAGATGTGGCCTGTTTCCCATACTGTGTAATGTCAAGGGTGTTTCCAGGCTCTGAGCCCAGGCTGCTCCTACACAACCCATCAGAATGCTGAGCCTGAATGACTAATTACTAAACTTCTGTGAGGATTTTCTGCTCCTGGCTTAGGTCATACATCATACATACTAAGTATTCACGGTGCAAGGACCAAAGATGCATAGGCATCCCGGTATTACGGAGATGTACCATGTGCCATTGGTGTGACAGGAAAGAACATCCATGCCCTCGGAGAACATCCATCTCAGAGATGGCATTGGTTTTATTTAAGGAATTGTTGTATTTTATGGTTCACTAGGCCAATCCGAAGGAAAGCGGAATGAACCTAAGTCTTGAAAATACCAGCAGAAAACATTTTTAAAATATGGTGTCAGACACAGAATTAGGGGCATCGGACCCTGCCTTCAGGCTTCTCAGCACCAACACCTCTTGCCTGCAAATACTCAACTTAAAATCGCGGAGTGACTGGACAGTGGCAGTTTATGCCTTTATCCCAGCCAGGTGGATCTCTGTGATGAGGCCAGCCTGGTCTACAGAGAGTTCCAGGACAGCCAGGGCTATACTGAGAAACCCTGCCTCAGGGCAAAAATTGCATAGTCCTGTTTTTGTTTTTTTGTTTTTTGTTTGTTTGTTTTTGTTTTCTATTGTTGTTGTTTGTTTGTTTGTTTTTCCTTCCTGAAAATTACATTATGTGCAGAAACCTGAATTTAAATACTACCCTTATGGGCTTTTGTGGTTTTCTTTTCCTTTAAATCACTAATCTTTCTTGTGTCTCTGGTTCCTCTTGGTGAGGTACTTATCAGCTACTTGTGAGGGCTATCCTGGAAGCCCTGAAGTATGTCAGCCATGTGACACTTGTTCAAGAGTGTTTCGCTAGCGCTACCAACTTCCAGTTCTGAAATGTGTGTGCGTCACTTCCTTGGTGAACCCATCTTGTCCGTTACCCTGTCCCTGATATGTCCAGTTAGGAGGGGCTTGAGACGGGTAACACCAATCACAGAGAAAATGTGGCTTCTTTAAGGGAATAAGCAATCTCAGGACCTTAAAATGAATCAATCATTTTATGGGAAGCGTTATGAACATCAGCTGCGTAGCCCCACCCCAGACGCATTGACTCAGAATCTTTGAGGGAAGAGGCTGGGGACACTGCTGGTGTTTACTGCTTCTTTAGGGTATCCTGAACGCCACCGTCAAGACAGCTTTCAGCCCCTATGTCTAAGGTGCATTTTGTACATGACTGGATATCGGATGGATTTTTAAAGTGCTGAGGACTGAACTCGGTGCCTTGCACACACCTACCAAGTTTTCTGTCGCTAGCCCGACACTCCCCCTCACCCAGTGCACTTCTAAAATCTCCACCAACAGACAGAAGTGCCCCTTTGTTAAGAGTGCCTTTGGTGACAGAAGTAACCGTGCTAGAGCCCTCAAGGCAGTGTCCTACTTGATGTTTATGACAAAGTAAACAGCATTCCTCCCCCTGTTGGTTTAGGTTGCATTCCCCAGTCTCGTGTACAAAACAGCCTGAAGGCAAACTCACTCACCTTTCCTTTAACCCTGCCGAGTCACCGATGTCTTACACTGAATAAATGTACTGGCCTAATCGTTTGTCATCCCACTGAGGCTGAACCACCTGCACAGATCACGTGCCAAGGAACAGTCCCTTTGATATTTCAGCCGGTCTTTTCTGCCTTCAGAACTTAAAAACAAAAGCCGGGGGCTTGGGTCCTGTTGGCCAAGGAGCAGAATCTGAGAATACGAAGTGAACACAGGAAAGCAGTCATGCAAGGGTGACTCCTTACACAACCCAAAACGTACCCCGATGTCACCACAAAATATGTTAATGACACCGTACAGCTAAATGATGTGGATGTTCTTTCGAGCAGCTGCCTAACACCACCTCATTGCATGACCACTGTAGTTAACCAAAGCCAAACTGTGATTCATTTAAATGATATAACTGTGAACTTAGGTGCTGTGTATATTTCTTTAAGCTCATAGAACAAAATTAGACATTTCTACATTAAGAAGTTATTAGTCCTAGGTTATGCTAAATTTGGATGTTAAGTAAGAGATTAACAATGCAGATAACAGCTAGCTAGCTGCTTGCTTCTTGGAGGAAAACTTGTTTTTTCACAATGACAACACCATGTCATAGTAATGCCCAAAACATGGTGGCTAAAGGAAAAACTTGTCCATTGTGTAAGTGCTGTGATGGAGTTTATAAGCAACAGCTATGGTAAACACACTTGCCTGCAATGTACAAGGACCTGAGTTCAATCTCTAGCAACACAGACACACACACACACACACCACGAGGGAGAAAGTATAAAATATTAGCAAATGTCTTGGCCTGCTCCAAATTAAAAGTTAAGAATTGTTAATAAAGTATATCCTTCTCCATTTACCAGCTATGGATGCACATACCAAAGTTGGCATGTGCTCCCTGTCAGTATTTTAACATTAAGTGCAACAAATACCTTGAAATTCAGTTTATTACAAATGACACAATGTAAAATATATGACTTTTACAGACCCTAATAGCTAGGGAAGGTAACTTTGGGAAGGTTCCCAACTGTTTCTGAGGATCTAATATAAATTCTGTCCATTTCTTCATTATATTTCCCTGTAATCTCTAAAAGCATCTGGCTCTACTTTTTAAAATAAGGTAAATGATAAACAAGAACCTGGAGAACGGGTATAAAAATATGTCATATCCAGAAGTTCCCAAGAATACTAAGGTAGTAAATATTTGAGAAACCGAGTACTTACAACTTTCTCTAGATACTTATTTAATCCCTGGGTGAAAGTTATTTTATAAAGCTTTTCACTGAAACTAGTGAACCCTGGGTGAGCCAGCCTTGGGATGGTAGTTTCTGTAGCTCTCTGTGTAAGTTAGACACTCATATGCACTGGAGAGCAAATACCACAATAGATTTCATTTTCTGACAATTCACTTTCTGAAACATGATAAACACCAGATGAAAGTTTTCATAGTATTAAAAGTGTTTACCCTCAGTTCTGAAATATAACACACACACACACACACACACACACACACACAGAATAAAAGGGATGAAGAATGCTGTGGATTAAAAATCAAAAAGGACTCTAGAGCCAAGTGAATCTGTGGTACAATTCAAATTCACATGTTAAAACAATACCCGATTCTCTATTTCCCCTGCTGTGAAATAGTTTGCAAAACTGTAAATATAGTTTTCAAAGCTAGGATGAGACAGTAACAGTTTATCCCTCTCCTAATCACAGGTCTGCAAATGGTACTTGGTATTTATGTTAATCGCTTGCAAGCTCTCTGCAGAGCTAATTCCTTCTTTGAGCTCTGTGCTCTCCCCTGTAAGGGTCTGAGGTCATGCAGTAATCTGGAGAGCCTCGTGCAGCCTCCAAACACTGTCCTGTTTTCGTATCTGTATAACTGGTACACTCATTAA